TCAGCCAAACACCTTCCTCAGGAATGGGACAGCTCTGCTGCTGGGAATATTGACTACTGAGTGCCCACAGCTCTGCTCCTCATTGACAATGGTAGTCAAAGACAGGGAACTGCCTTATGTAGGTTATGGAACTTCTCACAGGGTGGCTGTAGCACGCGACTAGCTGATGCAGGAAGACAGAGGCCAGATACCCTGACTTGAATTTGACATCACTCCGAAGGGCTGTTCCAGCTCCAGAGCTCCCAGGAGAGGGGGCTGAAACTCCCATTGCATTTGCATAAGAGTTCAACTTCCTCTGCCCAGTCCTGCCTTCCTCCTTTTCCTCAGGCATATCTCCTGAGAACACTCCTCATAAGACCTTTTGCACAGACCTTTCTCAGGATCCAACCTCCCACCACCTCTACTCCTTTGTGAGGGGAAATATCTCTGCTCAGGATCTTCACAATACACCTTTTTCCCTCCCCCCGACCCATGCGTGTCCCCTCCCTTACCCCACTGTATCCTTTAGTTTGCATGACTGCTTGAACTAAAGTTTCTCTCTACTTTTTAGTCCATAATTCAATGAATCAGAACCAAGCAAGACTAAATTCTTCCTGATTTATATTTCACTGGGTTTTCATAGTAAAATTATTAGATAATCAAAGTTCTAAGACTTAGCAGAAATTAAGAGAAGTTGAACAAAGGGAATGATTGGGAATTTGTAATTGTGAGGAAATTCAATGATTAGAAATATATGGAGGACTTTTTGGAAATATTTGTTTTTCTGCAAGAAATATTATTATTTCTAATATTCCCATTGATTCTTAAATTAGAAAAATTGTTTTCTTCCAAATTCAAGTAGATAAGAACCAGCTCCCAGAGGAGAGGATAAGAAAGAAAGAGAGAGAAATAGCAGTTCAGATTGATAAGGTCCTCTCCATTCTGGAAAGTTTAGTAAAACTATATTCTAAAGTCCCATCACCACAGGAGATCAGGTAGAAATATAGCTGTGATCATTATAATTTTGTGAAAACTATGATTAGCATAAATATATAAAGAAACTCAGAACTGGAAGGAACGTTAAGAGTCAACTAATCCCAGGGAACCCTAGGGGAGGTTAATAGAAAGGTTTACCTTGGGGGAGAGCGATTTTCTTATTCATCCTCTGATATCAAAAATAAAATTGTGTGTATGCATTTATCTACATTTATTTAGAAGAGAGTTATGATTCCCATTAAATCCTCAATATGGATATTTATGGCCCAAGAAAACACCAACTCTTGGATAAAACTGAAATTAAATAAAAGAAGCTGCTGTTTTATTCTCACTTTATCCTGATTTCCTGTTTGGCCTTGAGCCACAAATTTAACATCTTTATGTATATAGATTGGAGTCATAATTCCAGGCTTTTTAAAGACAACAATGATGGACTATCTGTGTGCTTACATGGGTGAGAAGTAAAAAGCTCTCAGTTAAATATGACACAGGATACACGAAGATGAAGCTTCCAAACTTATATTAGGCAGCTTCTTAAAAGTGACATGTTCTGAGAAAGACTGTAGCAGCAGTTCATTCATGAGTGTGAGAAACCAGATACATCTTAGATGAAAATCATGTTCATGTAAGCGGTTTATCAGTACTTATAATTATTTGGGAGAGTGTAAAAAATGGGTAAAAACTCTTATTCTGTTGTTCTTATTTCAAATTTGTCAAACGTTTTAGTAAACAAAAGGCTAAATAGTATCTATTTTGGTTAAGTTAGAAACCAAATACAGTACAATATGGAGACTTAATTTATAAGGATATTTTTCGGTGGTGAGAACCATGACAGGATTATACTCATCTATGTTTTATATTTCATGCTTGAAAGTGCTAGCATTGAACAAAATTCTCAATGTGTATTCTTTCTGGATGAACTGCAGTTAGACAACTAAATCTGTAATGCAATATAACATGGTCATATGAACCTACTGATGCAGAAAACACCATCTGTACCACCTAAGATATGACCAAACTACAGGAGCAAACTAAATGCCTTGTGCGGTCATTAATTTAAGAAAGGCAGTGAATTGTTTTTAAAGGAGGAAGGTACTGTAACTGATGAAGAATGAATAAAAGTAGGCATTGACCTTCAGTGCATTGTAATAGGCTTGCAGAATTGACTTGTAAACTGCTTTATAAGTCAATTCCATGTGCATTAAAAACTAATCAAGTGACTGATGCAGTTGACTGATTTTTAACTTGGCAATTTACTTGAGCATATAAGAATTGTTAGTAGAATTATGTAAGAATGCTTGCAAAACAGTAACTGTGATACACTGTTGTTTAATCTTATTTGCACAGATTGGTTACTCTCATCTACAGTTTATTAATCTAGAACTCAAAGGTGAACCTATTTGGAGTTTGCACATTGTGTCATGTCTTTCATCAGAAAGATAAATCAATTACAACTGTATTGAATACTGTTAACTACTAGCTCACAAACGAAAGCTTACAATAATAAATTAGCCTGCTTAATTATCAAATTTTCTGTAATGGGTATTTTACATAAAATGAGAAGTTTAAAAAAAACATTCTGTTCTAAAACCAGAATGTAGCAATTAATAACCTCTGAAAAAGGTGAAATTAACAGTAAGGGTTGCATCAGGTACGAAGGGCATGGTAGAGAGTTCACCATTTCCATGAGCTACTGAGTTCTATTCAATCAATCATTTTTGGTAAACATGGGTCAACGCAATTCCAGAAGGCTAAGATTATCTAATTAAGTTGGTCAGAGCAATTAAATATCCTAGTTTTCCACAGAATTGAAGCATATTTTCAGTTTAGGATCTGCTTATAGATATTCATTTATCATGCTCAGGCATTCTGTCAGAAATAGGATTTGGTAAGCAAAATAGTTGGGTGCCCTGCCCTCATGAGGCCTATGGCCCACTGAGGGACAGAAATGTTAATCAGGAAAAGGGCTAGAATCAGAGAGATAGATCAAGAGATTGGATTTACTATAGGATTTTGAGGTGTCTTTAAGATTTTTAAGTGAAGATGTCAATGAGGCCAATAGATGTGCAGGTTTGGAACTAAGAGAAGAGGTCTGAGCTAGAGATGCAGATTTATGAGTTATTGGATTAAACGTGAAATTAAAACTGTGTGTGCATTTACTGGAAGAGTGTATTTAAATGCAGAAGAGTCCATGAGTTTTGAGAGCGTTCTTCCATGTTTCAAAACCATCCTCAAAGCACTGAGGAAAAGTTCATAGTAAATATATTAAAGGTAAGGGTACCCATGACACTTAAAGAATATAAGAAGGTAGATAATATTGTAGCCCAAAGACTCCGACTGACTGACTAGAAGGGCAATGTGTAATTGTCAAGCCATGGGGCCATGTGGACATAGACTACCCCACTGGCAATAGGGTTTTAGAAACTCGGCATTTTCTTGTAGATGATACTTAGAAAAGCTTTGAATCATGCAATCTTTTTTGGATGTTTTCTCTTATCTCTTCATTTCTTTTAGTAGTTATTAGTTTTTTTAAAAAAATATATAAGGAATGCATGCTTGATGTAACAAACAATAAAGATATATAAAGAAGAATGCAATACATTGCCTTCCCCCACTTCCAAGCCCACTTAGCCAGTTAACATTATGAGTTTGGTGTGTGTTCTTTCACATCTTTCTCTACTGCTATTAAACTCACATTGACAAAATATAGCCTTTTATGATTTTTAATGAAATGTCATAAATATTAAACTGAAACTTGCTTTTTCACCTAACACTATTTTTTAATAAACTTCTAATTCTAATCAAAACACAACTATATGTATACTTTTTTTAAAAGAAGATTCCTAAGTATAAAAATGCCATGATTTATTTAACCATTCTCCTTCTGATGATATTCAGACCTTATCTTGTTTTTGTGTCTTTGTACTACCCTAGAAATGAGGTTGAAAAGTACATATATTCATTTTAATAGATATTGTACTATGACTTTCCAAAGAATTTGTAGCAATTTGCAATCCCATCAGCAAAGTGCCAGAATGCTTACCAGCATTTTTTGCCGTCACTCCATGTTACGTTTTTTTTTTATTTATTTACTGCTAAATTGAAGAATGGAAAATGATATGCTCTTTTTCTGATTTTCATTTTTACTGCTAGTGAGTTTATATATTTATTGGTTAATATTTTAATTTTAATACCCACCTTTTAATGTTAGATTTAGTTGTCCTTCTAAGCATCATCCATTGAGATATGTATAACATTTCATGCCATATACTCAGATTTTGGAACACAAAATATCAGGAAAAAGAAATTCTTATCTTTACATCTCTATCTGAAACCAAAAGCCTTCCAAAAATTTCAAATGGAATGAGGAATGTTTTCATACCCTGTTGACCCCACTTTTCTAATCCACACATGACTCACAGTATTACCTAATACAAACCTTCTAGATAGGTCAGGCCAACTTCTTATGCCCGCCTCATTCTCTTCCCTCTTACTTGAAGTACAGTAGACCCCTAGTCCCCAAACACACACATGCACTCTAATCTCTCCTGTGTCTGTCCCTTTTACATATGACACCCTATCCCTTCTTTTCCTTTCTAAACTGTACTCCACCCTTCCCATTTCCTTAAAAATGGTTGTATAGTGTATTTAACACTATGTAATACGTAATAATGTGTAATATGTCTTTAATTTATTGAAATAAGAAACCTCTTGTCTTACAAGTAATACTTTCATGTCACTGGAGTATATGTAACCATCAGAAACATGATAAGATTATTTTACTATTTTCTTACTGCTTATGTGGCAATTCATATTAGTCTCAGAAGTTTTCTACAATATCCCTCATTCCAGCTGTAAATGAGTTAATTATTGATTAATAACTCTTTTTACATGGTATTTAAATTTGAGTCAATGATACCTGTTCATTTGTTTGTTTGTCTTAAGGGATATGTCTTATATATGTATAATTGTGTGTGTGTGTGTATTTGTCTTGTAATAATGTTTTTTCCTGTCTCCATTTGTAGGGAAACTTTTTGGGTTTAAATTGCCTGGTCTGAGAGTTCTCACTTACAGAAAACAGTCCTTACCCCAAGAAGACCCTGATGTGGTAGTAATTGATTCATCTAAACACAGTGATGATTCAGTAGCCATGAAGCACTTCAAGTCTCCTACAAAAGAGAGCTGCAGCCCCTCCGAAGCAGATGATACAAAAGCCTTGATACAGCCCAGCAAATGTTCCCCCTTGGTGAATATATCTGGACCTCTTGACCATTCCTCTCCCAAAAGGCAATGGGACCGACTCTACCCTGACATGCTGCAGTCAAGTACCCAGCTGACTCATTCCAGATCGAAGGAAAGCATCTGTAGTATACGGAGGGCTTCTTCAGTTCACGATATAGAAGGATTCAGTGTCCACCCCAAGAACATATTTAGAGACCGACATGCCAGTGAAGGTATGTTTATTTTTTTAAATATGGAAATGAATATTAATGGATAATGAAAGGTAATTTCCATATTGTTTTTAATTTTGACATTAATCCCTATGCCTTGGGGGAAGAAATGCAAGTAAATTATGGCAGTTAAAAATTAGGAGTCCCACATTCAGAGTCGTTACTGATTTCCTCTTTGAACTACAGTGAATAATTTGGTTTCTTCTGGCTTCTTTTCTGTGTTTCTGAAATGGTATGGTAACCAATATCTGCCTACCTTATGGAATATTAATTAATGCTTTATATAAGATATGCTTAGGTGATGACACTATCATCTCAAGCATAATTAATTTTGCTGCATTTAGCAAATAGTCAAGCCTTGGGCAGAATGAGTGGTGTGCCTTCACAGGACTATTAACCAAGTCTTGCCAAAGGAAGACGTGTATAAAACGTGGTGTACTGAGTCATCAGAAAGCTATAAATGATTGGGTGGGGTGGAGATAGGAAGGAAGAAGGGGAAAGTTTTAGGGGAAAAGCAACCAAAACAAACCCTGAGAGTACTGAAAGACCAAACTTGAAAACCAAAGTCAGAGCAAGTCAGAATTCATTTATTTTTCCCTGGTCTCTTGGTGTTCACACTCTTACATCAGCCAGTAGTGAAAGCAGCAATGCTTAAAAGACACTGGCGAAAAGAATTCATCATTAACATGACGATGGCCAACATTTACTGAGTATTTGCTATGTGTGAGACAATGTAAATGCTTGACACACATTAACTCTCATTTAATTCTTACAACAACTCTGTGAGTTAGGAATTATTATTAAGCCCCATTTTATAGATGAGGAAACTGAGGCTTATTTATGTTACATAAATAACTGGTCCAAGGTTACAGAACGCCAGAGTCAGCTTTCACAGCCAGGACCACCCGTCTCCCGAGTCCACAATCCACCACGCCTTGCGTTCCTGTGGTAGGCGGGGCCTTGGACCCACTGAACTTTCCCCCAGGGTTGGAGATTCAGACTACCAGTTGAATGGATGTATCAGTCCCACTTTTCTGAATCCCACAAGTTCGGGTTCTTGAGAGGCCCACTGTTCCTCCTGTGATATCCATTAACGTGCATGCTCATCATCATAGCTGAGCTACGAATTTTCTTCTTAAAACATAGATCTGATCACTGGGCTCATAGTGTAGTGCACAGGACCAGCTGGCCACAATTATTTTTCAAGTCTTACTTCCTGCTCCTGCAGGACTCCTTCCCCTACTATATATTCCACTCTAAACCTGCACAAGGATAATTGCTTTTTCCGAAAAATGATCACACATTTTCTTGCTTCATTAGTTTGTTCTGCCAGGAATAACTCTTCTCCACTTTGTCCCTCCTCATTCTGCCTCTCACAGGCATAAGGACCCATTTCCCCTTCCCAAACCAAAAGAATTAAATGATTTCACACCCGAGTGTGCAAAGCAGTGTTTGCACATATTATAGCATTTATTACATTCTACCTTTATTCCACATTTTAAGTCTGTCATTTCTGTTGGATATGCAAAGCACAAACTATGTTTCTGTGAGTTCCCCCAGTGCGGGAGCTTCGGCACAGTTAGCTCTGCAGCCTTAGTCTCACGATTGCCTTTTTCATGGCAGGAATTCAATAAATGTTGGTGTGAAACTGAGAGGACCGTGCTCGTGAAGTATGTTTCAAAACCACACACAACAGGAAATGATTGTACCCCATACTACTTGAATCATGTGGGGGAGCTTTATGTAAAGAGCACAGTAAAGACGAAAAGGCCGAAATGACGAAAGAAAATGAATTGGCAGGAAGAATTCAAAAAGAAATTAAGTCAATATCACAAAAACAGAAGGAAGAGTTTTCCACAGATAGGTTTGAGAAACTGTATCTGGTACAAAAGCAATTAGCACATCCATTTTAATCTATGGTCGAAAGAAGGTTAAAAAGAAAATAAAATCAAGGACAATTCCCAAACTGAATAATCATCTAAGGCCCCCCTACTATGTAGTAATGGCATGCTCAATATCTCTGACTGAATGAAACCTCTGAAATTTGATCTTTGAGCAATGAATCCCACGGCTGAACAGCAATAAATCCAATAGGGTGATTCAGATGACCAACATATATTTTAGTTAGTTAGTCCAGTTAGTGTAAGCATCTTTAGGAATCGTACTGACTTCAGAAATTGGCCTTATTGCCTGAGTTACGGTATAATAACATTCTTACATATTAAATGATATGCAGTGGGTGCATGGTACAGACTTAGCCTCTGGTTTGATAGTGGTGCTAAGTAGGTTAGATCAGATTTCACGATTTCACTTTATTTTCTTCATTTCTATATGGTCTTTATTTAGTACATAGTTGCTGATACAATTATGGGAAAGAATGATTTAACATTTCTGGATAGAGAACTATTCAGGACCCTCAGTAGTGAGGTCATCCTCAATTTTCTTCCCCCACCCAAGCTATGTTATCTTCCAAAAAAAAAATATCACTTTCTGACAGATGCTCTAGTCATCTGGCTACCAATTGATACGTTCAGAGGGTATTTTGTAGTTCTGCTTTAGAACAATTTTAGCTACAAAATCACTGATTAGCATAAAAGAAACTACACCTCCTAAGGGTACATAATTTGGTATATTTTAGAAACTGAGCCGCTGACAAAGGAAGCTGGAAAACTTTTTAAAAAATGTCTTATTATTTTTGAGTATAGTTGACACACAATGCCACATGAAGATGAAAAATTTTTTAAACTGATTTCAGTTTCATGAATTCATGTGACTGATTAACAGGTTAAATCCCACATGCAGCAGATTTTGAATTCAGATTATTGCCTCCTCATTCAAGAAGAGAATTTCCTTCTATAGATGCTATCTTTATAGAACTTTAATTACTTTGCAAATATAGTAGTGCATAATATTTTACATTGTCCTTTTATTTAATCTACATTATCAAGTATCTTAGAACTCTACTTCTCAAACCATTTATGGTGAAGGACCAGAATTTTTTCTAATCCGTCACGAACAAATACATTTGTAAATATAAAAAGTATATAGTATTAGAAAAATGAAATTTAAAAAAAATAGCCATAGAAAATATAAACCCCAATTGTTTTATTATTAGATTGACCAGACATAAGATTGCTCTGTCAAGCTGCTACGAGACACTAAATACTTACTCTAATTTCTGCACTTACATTGTCATGGACAAATAATAAGGTCTCAGCTAGCACCAGGACACAGACTGAATGCTCTTAGAATGTTAAAACAGCATTAGCCATATGATGCAACTTCTAATCAGGTTTTTTTGGGAATCTGCAAATCTTAATATATTTGAGGTTTGTTAAGTAATGTTGTAATTTTTAACTACTTACAAGCAGTTGTTACTTTGCTAGTGATTTCTGGGGCCGAGCTTCTGATGGAGATAATTAATTCTATATAATCCCTTTTTGCTTTTTTATGGTCCCTCAAAGAGGGCAAAGTTGTCACAACTTTGTGTATCTCTGTCGAAGGCAATGTCTACACTAGCAATTCAATATACCACATTATTGAAATTGCTTCAATTGTAAGCTTTGAAACAATTATGATATATCCCAAGATTTTAAATATGCACAGCATTAGCACAGATGTCAACAAATGTTGAACAGATTTTTCAAATCTTGGATATATTTGAATAGTTTTGACATGACTTCATTTATTTTGTTTGTTTCAAAACTAGTAATGCATATTTTGTTCGTAGCAAATATGCATCAAAGAGTCAGATTGCTAATCTCAAAATAAATCTGGAAACACTCCACTCTGAGGCTTGAAAACAGGCCCATGTTAATATAAATGAATTTCTTAAATATTTTAGTTATTACACTAAGTCCCCTGTGACAACATAAACTTAAAAATCGCGCATTACTTTTAACAGTCAAATCTTTCCCTGATTTCTTACAACTATTTTTGCCTAAGAATGACTCTTTGAGCACCATTTGGTATTTTCAAAATATACATTGAAGAACATTTGTGGGAGGGGCAGTTAAGAGAATTCTGATTAATAACATAAGTTCGTTTATTAAGGTAAGCTGTTGTCTTAGAAATATTTTTCCTTATTAATTTACTAGGTTAAATCATATGAAAAAAAGATTACTTTACATACTAAGTGTTGCACAGTCTTTCTTTGTAAATGATGGTTGAACTGCCACTAAAATTGGCTTCTGACGAGATCGAAAGGTTTTATCACAACTGCAAGCAGCTGGAGATGCCTTTCTCCGAACTGTCATAATTATAAAATCTGAATCTTAGAATCCAGTTAAATTAAGTGAGATAAATGTTTCACATATTTGAAAATGCATGCTTATGGCAGATATCATTTTTGGTTTATGCATTTCACTTGGATGAATAGTACAAAATGCTAATTTCAAAGACACATTTTCAGTCATTACATCCTGTTTACTCTGATTGTTTTTACAGAGGTAATTCAGTGTATATAACATAATTTTAGTCTTCTTTTTTATATTTCTTTCTTTTTTTTTATCCTTCTGTGCTCAAAACAGACAATGGTCGCAATGTCAAAGGTAATGTACGAACTCATCATCCGATGCTCAAAGTGCCCCTTTACTTGGCATGTTAACTTGCCTGCTGTATGCCCTGTTCAATGCAACATCATGCTGCCCTTAGCTAGTCCAGGTGCCTGGTGGAGACATCATGGCTTGATTTTGTTGGAGACATTGTTACTTTCTCAGCTGTGTCATCAAAATGATTAGGAACTCCTCTTTCCTGCAAGAAGTGTAAGGGTAGGTTGACAATGAACACCTCCTGGACATTTAAACCATTTGGAAAGAAACAAATACCGAGCTAAATATATTCCAGTGTGAAAGAGGCACATAAGCCTATTTCAGCCAAAAAAAAATTTTTTTGAGTGTAAGATTGAATAAAGTAATCAAAGTGCTACATGACAGTATCACTTCACTTGTTCCTCTTTTGTTTCCCTAAAACTAGTTTCACGTTCCTGGATGGCAGGGGGTATGGTTTTAAGCTTACTGTAGTAGTAAACTGTACATGCATGACAGTCATTTTCTATTTCTCTATATTACATTTCAGTCATTTTTAATTGTGTCCTATCTTAGTCTGAAATCACTGGCATGACCTGTAGCTACTATAGGGTAATGTTTAAGTGGGCAATACCTCTGGATAAATCTGGATCTGACTAAAAACTTGAAATTCACCTCTGGTTTTTTCTACTGTATCATAGTAGATATAAGGAATCACAAAATACAGTAATTGTATTATTCTCATCAAGTTGAAGACTTTGGGGTTTAGTCTTCTGACATAGGCCATGCATGCTGCTGTCAGTGTGCCTACGGTGACTCACAATGACGCATTTTGTGCATGTGTGTTGCATGGACATGTCTCTACCAGTAACCATCTCTCCTTAAAATTCACTGTCTGGGCCTCTTCTGTATGTCACTGCTACTCTGATCGCGATGAAGTTTTGTATACTGATTCCTCAATCGCTTCCCTAAGTAAGTCAGAGCTGGTGACAGTTATGAATTAATAGCACTAGACGCTAAAGCTATTTTCTGGTCAGCCGTCCAGGGTGATTTGAAAAGAAGGGAAATCGGGCAGCTTCTCCCCATACTATTTTATTTTGCAAGCACTTCAAAAAGGGCCTGTGCAGGTGACCTCCAATAGTGGGATGGTACTTCATCTGCATGATTATTCTATCCTTGGCCTTTCTACTGTAATTTCTAAAAGGGAGCAAATCAGTGTCAGCTATGACGGTGATTTGCGTTGATATAATTCAGGATATAATGTCAAGAAACAGAATACAGACACCGCTTGCCAACTCACCTGTATGAAATATGACCGGCTTTAGCATTCAACAATTAGCAATTAATTATTAGACATTAATTTTCCAATGATCTTTTAAGTGCAGTGAGAAATGAATCTAATTTTTCTCAATAAATAGAAAATTGACCTTGCTTATCTTCCAAACTAGAAGTTCACACAGTTGCCATTCAAACTACATTAATTTTACTTTTCTCTCATAAATGAATCCATATAATCTCCAACCCTTTTCCCTCAACCCTCCATTTTTAACAGCAAGAGTCTTTGAATAAAAATGAATCATCAAAGTCAGAATTTGGGGTTAGGAAACTCTAAATCATTGTAGAAAGTTTTCACATGTTAATATTATGAAGTTAAACTCCCAAATTAGATTTTTTAAAAATGTGCAAATTTAATTTTAAAAATAATGTAAATGTACCCTACAAAGTTTTCATTCTTTGTTCAGACTCTGTTTTTGAAACTATCAAAAAATATTCAAATGTCTGGCTCTTTAAAATTTTCACGGAACAGTTAATATACTAATTAGATATAGAACAATACATTAAGTGTGCTTTTAAAATTTTTTTGGTGTTGTTTCTAAACCACATTTAAATAAAAGGTTTAAAAAATAAAAGACAAATTTCTATACTTCTTTGTATATAAATGCATAATTACAGGTTTTTTTCAATATCTAAATCACCCCAAAATAATTTCTTTACCAAAATAAAATAAGTGATTTTGGCAGGCATTTGGAAGGACTTCAAGAACATCTGGTTTATTCCCCCCAGGCGAGGGTGTTGGCTAAATCCCTGACACAAGTGGTAGAGGAATCTTTTATCTGCTGAGGATCCCATTCTCTAACTTTCTTGGGAAATCTGTTTTACTGCCTGTTACACAAAGAGGTAACCTGAATCCTTCTTGCTGAAACGCAATTTTCTTGCCCCCTTTATCTATCCTGAGTGGAAAGAGATACCAGCTGGTTACTTTTAATCTTGATGTAATATCACAGTATAAAAACTGCAAATTGGTACTTTTCTTCTAAAATGGAATCATTTCCATTTAACGATCTTTCTTAGTATTAATTTTGTTTCCCTTGAATAAATTTCCTTGGCACTCTGACTCTTTGAAATGAGACTCCAGAGATCTAAGTGTAACCCCTTATCAAGTATTGAAAAAGTGAATTCAAATAAATTGTGTATGCTGCTTATATGTGTGTATGTACATAAAATTTTTTAACAATTTCTTTAATATTGTGAGTGGTGAACCTAATCCTATCTCGACTATGCATAAACTGATTTTCACCTCAAATTTAGTGGTTTCTCTGTCTATTCTGCTTTTCAAGTCATCCACAAAAATTAACCCCACTTAGCCTACTTAGTAAATAGGTCATTAATATAACTTTACCCCTCTATTGCTTCCACCTCCTTATCATTTCAAGTCACTCTGCATCCCACTGACAATGGTATGTTCAGTTTCCATCTTGTCTATGAATCTGACGTGTGAATCAGAAACAAAACTATTTGCAAGATCTGTTACAGCCTTCACCTCCTCAAGCCACAAAACCTACCAGACTTACAAAGGCAATCAGCTTGTTTCTCATAAGCTACACTGGCCGTTACCAAGGTTTGGTGATCTTACATGAATTTGCAAACTGATTTTCAGTGGTGATAGCTTTCTCCTGAAAATTGTGGGTCATGCACTGAAGGAGACAATATGAATATTGACTACAAATAATGTGATTACTTACCATCTTTCTAAGTGTTAAACTGGTTGCCAGTGTTCTTTTACTGAATCCAATTATTAGACACTCATTTGCATTTTTTTAATGTTAAGTCACTTCAGCAATTTATATTTTATTAAACTTTAGCCTAATAAACTCAGTGCCCTAAGAAATACTGTGTAAAGATCTGATGATTTGATAACAACCTTAATGTTTTTGCTTTCCTTCTCTTGTGTCCCATTTGATCCTCAAAAGCAGCGATCTTTTTTTTTAAATTTTTTTATTGTTATGTTAATCCCCATACATTACATCATTAGTTTTAGAAGCAGCGATCTTTAAAAAAGAAAATAGCATTATTTTTTTTAAATTATCATATGTCCGTGGCTAGTTTTCCAGCACCATCTAAAAGAAAATATATTCTCTTTCAGCTTCTTGTAACTCATGATAAATTCAAATAGCCTCATCATAAAAATTTTAAATATCTTTAATCTAAAATCCTTCCCAGGTGTTGCTTTAGCCTCTGGCTTGATCTCTAAATTCAGAATATTTCTTTGTAGCTGGAACCTGGCCTACTTTATATTTAATCAGACACTTGTAATATATTAGAGCTTTATCTAGCTGTTGGTTACTCTACTTGGTCACCTGTTTTTCATCTCCTTCTAGTACACTGGAACGCTTAACCTGGTCATCCATTTCCCAAATGTTTCTCTAAAGAACATCAAGTCCCCCTATGTACTTTTGAGTTTTACATTCCCTTCTATTGAATCTATTATTTCCCTTTATTTCTGCCCGTTTATTTTATTTATATTCATTTACTTTGTTTTTCAGGTTATTCTCCTTTCTTTCATTAGAGTCCTAAATCCCATCAGTTCATGATCACTCTCAGGGAGGCTGCCTTTCACCTTTAAATCCTCAACCAAGGCCTCTCTGAATATAGACCTAGGAGGTAGGAAACCCTGTATTCTGATTTCTAGTCCTTGATGCTTATTCCCCTTTGGCCTCATAGTCTGTCTGCTTAGGTTTACAATTAGTAAAATGAGAATATTGTGGATACCTATCTTAATTGAAGCGTTGGAAAATTTTTCACTAGAATTTAGATAGGTTTTAGAGGAACCTAAGCTAATGCTGATCATCTTGCAGTCTCAGACTTCTGCATATAAACAGCTACTTCAAAATCAGTGGAAAAAAGCATAATTACCTAGGTTATGCAGGATGAAATAGATTGTAAATGTCTTATCTAAGTAGCATGCATGGATTATTTTAAGGTTTTGCTGAATTCTTTAAATGTATAGATTTAAAAGAAAGCCTAGATTAAATCTCTGATATTAAGAACTGAAAAAAAAAAAAACACAGAATAGAGTAACAGTTCAGAAAGTTTAGCCACGAGTAAATATGAGAAGCTAAAATATGGACTCAATGACGTTATAATGTTCTGAGGGCAAATGTGAGTATGACATGTATTGACCAGTGGTTTCTCAGCCCTGTTAGACCCAATGTCCCCTTGTTTCTACAGTATTTTGTTATACTCATTTTACTATCCTGTAACAACATTTAGAGATAATTTAACCTATTTTTAAAAGATCAATATGATTCTTTAACCATAATGTAAAGGAGGAATACAAGAAAAGCCGTTTATAATAAAATGGTATTTTTCTCAATATGTTGATGTTCACATATAACTACACTAGAAGATACAATGCAATGATCAGATATTTAAAAAAAATGGTTTTAAGAGCATTAAATTGTCCGGAGAAGTACTGGATGACAAAGCAGGAGTATGGGTAGATAACAAAATAAAAACCACTATTGGAATAAATAATAACAGATCAGAATTATTTATATATGAATTTTAAAAATAGGAAATAACCAAATTGAATTATGAAAAATACACCAAGATAAACTGGGGAGAAAATAAGGAAGTATAATATTCTCACAAATAAGCCAGCCCTTACCAGCCCAGTGTAATGTCAGCATGATTCCCTATGTGATAACATGTGATACTAATGAATTACACTGAAGAAAGAAATCCCACCAAATGTCAGAACATATATTCTTCTTCCAATACTTCAAAAAGCCCTTGCAGACCATATGTGTTCCTAAACAATGGGACTAGAAGATGTATTGACGCAAGAAATGGCAATCAAGACATCTAGGTGTTGGGGCAGATCTCTAGGGAGTTACTAAAGTGAGATTGAAAACCAACAGGCAATGTCAAGACAAATAATTCAAGTGTTTAGCTCTTATCCGTAGTTTCCTTTAATTGCATCATGCATCATTTTGCATATATAGAGAACAATAATATGAAATATTTTTAAAAGAAATTTTATTAATTGTTTTCACTGTGATTCCAACAATTCTCTGCAAATTTAATCTTTGGTTCCAACACTGGCAAAAAAAAAAGACTCAAATCTGCTTGCTTACATATTTATTCATAACATGCAGACACAAACTATAACCTTATAACCTGAAGTCTGAAATTTCATTTTGGTAATTCAGATGCCACAAGTACCATAGCTCCAAGTAATACGATTTTCCAAAATGGCGAACAACTTTTGGTAAAGTTCCAAACCAAACAATGTAAAACTCTTTCCCCTACGTGGTGGTTGTAGCTCAGGAAAGCTCAATGTATATTAAAATCATGTTAAAAGTAAACTGTGCTCTTTAGATGTGACACAGGTTCAAGGCTCAGATCATTATAAACAGGCTTTCTTTCACCTACATGAATGCCCACTGAGAGATATGGGCCAGTTTTTTCAAGGTGAAAGAAGAGCCACCTCCCATCATTATGAGAAACAAAAGTGTCCCCACAAATGTCCCTAGGATGAAGTACTGTCATAGTTGAGACCTCTTGCTCATTGGTGTAGCCAATTCAGGGGAGTTTATTGGAACTGACCACAAGGACAATCAAAGTTTTATTTAACAGTGTTTGCCTGCCTTGACGTCATAGATCATCCATGTTTTTGCCCAATTTTTTAAATAACTCTGTAGACAGAGAAATCCACCATCCATCCATTTCTACAGAAATCCACCACATAAAAGGATGATAAAGAGAATTCAAAGATGGGCATAAGGGTTTTAAACACAACTGTGTATCTGAGCTCAGCTTTCTCTAATCTCTTCTCAGTATACCTGTGTGTAATAAAAATACCTAATGAGTGAAAATATGACATTAGAATTGAGGAAAAGGCATTATCTAAGAAGTCTGAAGTCCTAGAATGTTTTACAAATTATAAATTTTGAGATATAGGCCTGGAATATAGCCATAGAATGATACAAAAAAGGGAACACCTATGTAGGATATGTTACAATAATAAATCAATGGTGTGTGGTGGAGGCTTGTAAAGAGACCTAGAGGATGGAGTTTCTGTCAGACCTGTCTGGACTCTAGATTAATATGGTGCCACTTTTGGCTCATATTTCTCTCTTTGTCATATAAATAGAAAAGAGAATACGAATCTACATGCAAATGAGAGCATATTGGACAATAAATGCCCAAAGAGCTCAATGACATTTTTCACCTAGATGGACTTGATCATGATCATGGATAAAACTCAGGGGATGAATAGAAATGCACCTCAGGGAACACAGTATCTGCCACATAGGTGAAAATTCTCTTAAAATCATTTCAAACTTTTATAATAACCTAACATGAACTTTCATAAATGAATATAGTACGAATTTTCTCCAAGTTAACTATGAACTAAGTGATGGATATTTTTTATTAGAGTTCTATTTGAGCCGAGTTGATTTATTATTGTGGTTCAAAATACACAACCTATAAATCTAATTTTCAGGTGTTTAGACCTTGTTTGGTGCATAAAGTGCTTTTTGACCCCTAAAATATATTCGTTTTATTCTGAAAAACAACAACAAAAAATAGTATAAGGCAAAATTTGCTGACTAGCAAGTTCAGTCATGCAGTTTCTATGTTTTAAGCACTCTCTGAGGCAGCCAGATAACAGCTGGGTAACACTCGTGGGCTCAGGATTTCTATAAAATTCCTCCTGATGCCAATTTTTAAGAGCTATATAGTGGTAAAAGTTGCAAAACCCATTGTACAAGAAACTCTTTGGAGCATTTCCTGACTTTCCATAAGCAACACACAGTAAGTTCATCTCAAGATGTAGCTGGTCAGTGTATTCGTCCTGGACAAGGGAGCCAGGAGTCCTAAAACCTTGACCAATTGTTTTCATAGGGAAGAAATGAATTGTGAGAAGTGACCAGGTTTGGACAAACAGTACTAACTTCCAGCTAATAAGATGAATAATTTCTGGGGATCCAAGGTATAGCATGATTAAAAAAAAAAAGTAACCAGGTACTACCAACTCCAGCCCATTACCTAACTATGTCATTTCAACTGTAAATTATGTTTGTCAAAACATTCTTCTGGAATGGTTTTTATAGAGGTTCCCTCCCCCCACCCCCCAAAAAAGTCTTAACTTTAAATGAAAGGGGAAAAAAAGGGAAGATTTTTAAAACTTCACACAGGATTCTAGAGTTTTCAATAGAATACACACACATACACACAAAGACATTGGCCTTTCTTGATCTTACCTGAAATTCCTCCATCTGGGCTTGACTCTTCTAGAAGCTCGAACATCTCATGCAGGTAATAGAAGCATATAAAAAACTCAGCTGGCTTGTCACTTGTCATGGCCCACAGGGGGGAAGTAATACATATTGGAACTGGGTAGACGGCCCGTTCAGAAATTTCATGGCCAACAGGATTTTAACCATAGGCAAGTCCTTCCTTGAATAATCCCTGGATTATAAAAACACATTCTTGAGAAACCAATTTGGCCAATAATAGGCCAATAATAAGGAGTCGAGTTTTTGTTGTTTTTTTTTTATTCCAGCCCTTAATGAAAGAAGTTAAGTAACAGCTAAAGATGCCATCTGCTTTCTGGGTACACACCTTGGACCCCGTCTTACCCTCGGATACTCACGTGTCATTCCATTTGGCAGACAGTGACCCTAAACCTTGTGTTCAGGTATCAGCTGGCTGCATTTAGTCCTTCCCAAAGCAGGGTGACACTGGCTGTGGATCATTAGCGGGTCATTCAGGACCATCTCTTTCTTCTATTTCTCCTGACACTGCTTTTACAAATATTTTCCAATTTTTTTAGGGCCTTTTAATCATATCAAGTCAAGCCTCCTGGGATCCACGTCAGATTCTAATCTCAATAAATACAGCACCATTAACAAGATTCCACAGCTCACCCTGAATTTTTCGGATGTCAAAACTGAAAAAAAGAATGCATCCCCTCCTTCTTCAGATAAAACCATTATTGCACCCAAGGTTAAAGATCGAACACACAATGTGACAGAGAAAGTCACCCAGGTAGGATATGATTTTACTTTCAATTTTAACTATTTCTAAGGTTCTTCTCTGCACTATAAAACCTATGATTTTTCCTATAAATGACTATCGAAAGAGGTAAGCTATTTATTTGCACTCCAATTTACCTTGAGATGTTGGGTAACCCTCTAATGCAACAGATAAATAAAACTGTAGACTGTGATTTTATCTGTTAGAAGACTAAGCAAAAATGGGCTAACTTGGTATTGTTGTTCTCTTTGTTGCAGAGGTGGTTCACCTGCTATTCATCATGTTTGGACATTTATTGTTTTGCTGCCAACACCTGCATTATTAAAGCATGGTTTCTTAATATGATGGATGTGACTATTGAAACTTTAGGTGACTAATTGGGATTTACTCTAAACTATGGCCTCCTTTTTTGCATTTACTCTACTAAGTAGACTCAGATATAAGTCAGTTGGCTTGAGGAAAAGAGCTGAAATGATTAAAAGTCAGAGTAAATAATACATTTCACAGGAGCAATATTTTATTGTTTCCAAATAAATATTGCAATTTGAACTAGGGTAAAAATGTACTGTCTAGTAGGAGCCCTACTTTAAAGAATAGATAAAAATAATTTGTACTTATTATATCAAAATACCAACCTAAGCAATATCTAGCTTTTGCTTACAATGCACTTACATTGTTGGGAATTCATGACTTTAAAATTTGTGTCAAGGAAACAGTTCTTTTACAAACACTTTACTTGGTATATTTGCTTAGCAAATCTTTTCAAGAACTGTCACAATATAAAGGTAAACCTGGCCCCGATCTCTGTCCCAAGCCTTGAAGATTTTGAATTGATAAAGTTTTTTCTGTAATTATAATCACTACCAGCAGTACTAGAGTTGGTCTGTAAATAACCCATTATGTGTGAGCTGAAATAATTATGTGAAGACTGTGAGTCAGCTATAAATAGAACTGAGCCCTCTGTGTTTGAGATGAGAGATTATACATGCCATTACTCTACTATATATATATATTTATGTTTTATTTTTTAATTTAAATTCAATTAATTAACATATAATGTACTATTGGTTTCAGAGGTACAGATCAGTGGTTCACCCATCTTATATAACACCCAGTGCTCATTACCACACATACCCTCTCCAATGTCCATCACCCAGTTTTATGTGTATATAGTAATGAGGCTTTCTACCATGCCATACTTGAGAGCATCTCTAGTATATATTTTAATATTTATGTAGTAGTGAGGTTTTCTGTCCTTAGCATTTCACTTTTTCTTAACTTAGTAAACTAGAAATGAAAAATAATTTATAATAATTATATTAATATTATAATTTATAAGGATTATTTATAATAATCCCATAACACAGAAATTAAAAGATTTCAGAAACTGCACAGAGGACTGATTGCAAATATTGGGGTCAGGACCCTGTCAGTAGCCTAAGTGAGCGAAGTTGCCAGGACAGCACAACAGTAGTGGAGAATATAGTGAAGTGTAGGGTGCAGGGCCCCTCGACAGCAGACGGTCACCATTCAGCTCGAGCCAGTTGTGGTCATGTAAGAATCTTTGATGAAGCTTTCCAAATCTTCAAATCTAAAAAAGAAACTGGAAATCCAGGATTTAAGATAAGCACTTACTTTCCAAAAGTTGGCAAACTAATTCAAAATGCTTTTTTAAGCCAAACAAGGCACACCTTAAAGTCTGTGGGCAGCTAAATGTGATCTCTGCAAAGCTTTCCTGCTCTTGGTTTACCATAGGGTCCACCCTATCCTGCCACGTTTAGCAGCTCTGGGGCACTGGGACAGGGTGACACACACATGGACCAGAGGTGGCGCCTGCTCTGGGGACTTTCTACTTTCTAAGCCTGGTGAGAGAGGAAACATTGCAAATAGCCATAGTGAAATTATGCTAATAATGAATACAGGAACATACTTAGGGGGAAAGTGATTATGCTTTCAAAGGAGAATTTTCAGAGAAGAAAGATATGATGGGGCATTTCATCTAGATCCAGAAGGTTACGTATCACATTGAGTAGTAAGTGATGTTTAAGAGCACAAGTTAGAGTCACATGCACTTGTGATTTAACTTTGGCTAGGTCATTGATGGTATGCCATGGAGATGAGTGTCGTTTATTGTGTGACGTCCAGGCAAGTTTTAGCGACAAAACTTACTTCTCAGTGTTGACGTAAAAATTAAGTGGAGTGATGTGTGGAAATGTTCATCACAGTGCTAAGTATATAACATGCAATGCTAGTCATTATTCTGTTTAGTAATGTTTTTGTATGACTTCTCTCTGCCCTCCTCACCATCTCTGCATTTTATCCCTACATCACCAGAACCTAGTAGAACACCTGGCAGAGTGGAGTTCATGAAATGTTTACTGAAAGAAGGGAGGAAGGAAGGTTGAAAAGGTGGAAGGGAAGAAGGAAGGAAGGGAGGAAGGAAGGAAGGAAGGAAGGAAGGAAGG